TTGTTTGTTAAGTATGGTAAGCATACTCTGTGGGAAATATACAGGATGTATTCCTTTGGTTTTTCTCATGCCAGAAGTAATTGTGAGATGTTTCCCAAGAGTGGGGTGGGGATTCAAGCCATAGTAATTTAGGTGTACTTCCAGTTTGGAGACTGAAGAGGAAAATCATTTCTCTTCTCTTGGAAATCAGTCAAAAGCAATAATGAAAATCAGAAACAAGTGCAAACTCCCCACTTCAACAAAACTAGGTGACATCTGAAGATCTTAACAGTAGTAAGTGGGTTAAAAAAAAATCAAACCCGCTGCCGTTGAGTTGGATCCAACTCATAGCGACCCCTCCTTGGGTTTCCGAGTGGGTCAAAGAGTGGCAGAAGCCTATCAAAACAGACTACAGGAGGATACCTGCTGCTGAAGGATCTCAGAGAAAGCTAGCTGGAGCCTCATCTCTAAGGTGAAAGTTCTAAGCAGGAAAAATCTGTCAGAGTGGCAGAGGTGATGAGAGACTGTACTGTGAACTACAGCATCTATCTCCACCACAATAACTCTCACACATAATCCTGGATGAGAAAATTTGTTAGTCTGCTCTCTCCCTGAAAAGAAAATCCTGGAAATATCTGGGAAGAAGCATTAAAAAATGAGTTGCTGTTTTCCCTATTTTAATGTCAATTCTTTACTTCCACTTTACTTTGCTCATTCTCAAATCCTCTCTCAAATGCTATATTCAATCTTTCAGCAGATTCTGTTTGCTCTACTTTCAAAGTGCATTTGTTTTTCACCGCTTCCCCATTACCACCCTAGTTCAAGTTCTTGTCTTCACCTATCTTGCAACAATTTCAATTGCTCTCCATTTTCATGGCTGGAGCTTGCTTTTTCAAAACATGGCTGCTTAAGTCATATTAATTAAATCATACTAAAAAGTTTAAAACAAAAGGGGGGTGGGGGAAGCAAGGTTCAACCTCAATTTTCCTATTTCTATAGATGAAAGCACTGAACCCTCTGAACTATTTCTATAGACACTTCACTGAACCCTCTGAACTCTTGTGGAATTACAGGCCAAAAATCATAGTGGTCTTTCATAACTGGTTTTAATAAACTTATCTGCTGACAATTCAGTTCTCTAATTTTATTGAGGGCATGTAATTGGAAGCCACTTGACTTACAAAAGGAACGATTCAGGCTTCAACACCAATGTTTCACATTGTCCCTTTGTTTGGAGCTTTTAAAGTTTTTACTTGCTGGGACAATTAACCATGGTGAGATCTGAGATGGCTGAGAGGTATCACCTTTCTTCCCTCCAGTAGGAGAAAGGCTGTGAAAGGAGAGGTGGGAAAGGAGTTTTCCAGATTGATTAGGAACAAGTACAGATAGTCAAGATCACTACTGAACCCCGTCATGTGCATATTCACTTGAAGACTACTGATTAACAATGGCAAATGTTGCTACCAAGTCAGGAATGGAAAGAACAGTACAGTACCTGTTTTGGAAACATGCAAATTACTGATTTGATAAAAGTAGCTTCCTGCGCAGTTCTGTCAAGGGTTGGTAGAAGCCATATTGGAATGGGTTGAGGAGGAAGGGAATGAAAATGAAGCAGACAATAGAAACAAGTTCATAAATTGGACTTAGAAAGTGTGGAGACAGGATTGCAGCTGAAAAGTTATCTAGCAACAATTACTTGTGAAATACTCAAGGGGCAAATGCTGACATAAAGGGGTCAACAGATGGAGAGGTTGAACGTTCAAGCATCAAAAGCGCTAGGTTCACTAGGTACAAAGGATTCATAGTGGCTAGAATTTATTGAGCATTTACTGTCAACCAGCATGCTAAACTTTTTACTGTTTTAGTTCCCATAGTAAGCATGAAGTAGTTACTACTGCTATCCTCATCTGACAGATGATAAAAGGAGACCCAAAGAGATCAAGTTATGCTCAATGTCACTTAGCTAATCATTCAGCAACATGGCAGCAGTGGAACAGGACCCAGAACACAGAACACTTCTCCAAGGTTGTGGATTTAGTAGCGGAAGTTCAAGGCCAAGGACTCTACTTTATATGTCAGATAGAAAGGGCATCTTAAGAGTGAAGAAAGGCCAGAAGTTTGAGAATAGAGGTTTTAAATACTTGTAAGGAGAATGGCGAACAGTTGACTAGGCTTAAAAAAAAAAAAAATTAAAGACAATAGGCAGTGTTGTGGTTGGTTAACATTAATTTTTAGTTATTATTAATTTGTGCATTTGGTACGCTTTCTCCAGAATATTCTGTGGAAGACTAGATATATCTAGGGTTGGAATTTCCCCAACATGGTCTGGGGAAGGTTATCTGGGATAGTGACAAGAATGATAATAAATTGATAAATCAATTAAAATCTAGACAGGGCTCATGAAGCAGGTGAAAACAATGTCAATGACCAGACTTTAACAGGTGTAAAGGAAGCAATATAAAATCAGGGGTACGATTTCTAAATTAGTGAGTTCAGAGATAAGGCTGTTTTGGGGTATTAAACTATCCAGGATATGCTTGTGGTAACAATGAAACAAAAAGTCCTCTGAGTAGGAAATGGTCATTGAAGTAAACCAGGCAGTTGAAATGTTTTATTATTTCCCCAAAATTCACTAAAAAAATTGTGACCTATATTTCTGCTCTCCATCAAATAACCATCAAATGTCAAAAATAGACATTTTTTGGTGGCTTCAGTTCTCCCAGATTTGAAAAATTATAAATTTGAGGACTTTTTATCTATTAATTCACATAAAATTGCAATCTGTATTTCTGGAAACATTCTTCTCAATAAACAAACTATTAGATCACTGGTATAGGTAAACACTTGAGTATAGGCAAACATGGGAGAAGCACATTAGTTGTACATTTCAGATATGAAATTATCAACAATACGGGAAAATTTTAATTTTTCACTGAATGGTCTACTTCACTGCATGAAAATAATCTACTTTCTACCTTGTATTTTTCAGTAGGGATATTAAGATGGCATGGCATCCATCAGTCTTCTATTAATGCTTTTTTTCTGATTTAATTAGAGAAAAACAAAAACCCCAGTGTTCATGCTTTAAAAGAGCCATCACGTTTAATGTAGTGCTGAGACACTAGGCCACGTGGACCAAAGACCTAAATTTATTCCAATCCTGAATTATTTAATATCCAATAATACATGAATTGAAATTAGGATTTCTCAATATGGAGATGAAGAAAAAAGGTCTTCCAGTGTAGTTATCACTTTAGAAGGCTCTTCTACTTATGTATTAGAACTGAGACTTATAAATAACCAGCATATTTAAACAATGAAATGATGAAAATACTTTTTAAAACATAATACTGGTCTCTCCCTCTTCAATTCTTAAACATACCAAGTCCTTTTCTTTCTACTTAAACTAGCTGCAATAAGCAATGCCACAGACTAGCTGTTTGAAAATCAGTAGCCAACCTAAAATTTGTTGAATGAATCCAAACTTGTTCAAATCAATTATTTGTTAAATGTCATATGTACTGCCTACTATCCACTGACTCAACATTTTACTATACAGGGTAAGATCGATTTTAAAACAATGTGAGAAATAAGGAAAAAACAAAACAAAACAACCACTGAGGGTCTAACATATAAAGAATATTTCAGATGCACTGCATAAACCAGAAATCTTACCTGTTCTAGTTGCTACTTCTCTAACACATTCTAAATCTCAAAGCAACACAGGAATACTTAAAAAGAAACACTCAACACATACCTAGGCAACTAAACATGTAGTAGTAGTCCAGTTCACAACTAGGTTTATTCAAGCCTTTCAACATCAGTTAGAAATATTATTTTGGACCCAGTTATTCAAAGATCACTGACTAGGCCGTAAGGCAGTCTGTGTTAATCTGTTGAATGAATCAACCACGTAACCACAGCCAGATGACTCCACCCTTACTCCAACAGAAACAGTAGTAAAATTAGAAAGTAATACTTATTTTTTATAATTAGATGATAATGGTATATTGAGATAAAAATGATGAGAATTTGTTTCAGCTTCTTGTTCAATAAGCCTGTTCCTAATTTTTAAATAATGAAGATAAAGGTATCACAACCAAATGTGGTAAACTGCTTTCTCTAAATTAGGCTTTAGGGAAAAAAATCAACTTTGGTCACACATTACCTCAAATAAATAAATAAATAAATAAAACTTCCGTTTTCACATAATCCTGAATAGGACCCAAATGATCATAGAAATAATTCCTTCTGTAAAAATTGGCCAACTTTTATAAAAATTTTAACATATGATGTAATTCAAATTATATAAAAACTGTTTGGGGTCACAGTCCAGATTTATGACAGTTGTCAGTCTATCCTAACGAGTGTGAAAGTACTTGCTCTCATGTTGCTTTGGTCCAAAATAGTACAGCCAAATCATTAAGAGTAAACTAAGAACCTAATCTTTTTGCCAAAATTAACTTAGATTATTATTAGGAGAAATATCCATGATAAACAATTCTACTATAACAAAGTATAATAAAAAGAAGTATTTTTCACGAACATATCACAGTATCAATTAACTTTTTATAAGAGAGAGAGAGGAAAGAACAAAAAATGATAAGACAGCTATCACACAGGAAAAAAAGAAAAATCACAAAACATTACTTGTTTTCAAAAGTCTCCCCCATAACTGCATTAGAAGGAGTATGAAAGTAAGGTTAGAGAGTTGATGTTGCTAATATGAAAGGAAGCTGAGTACTGTTGTTTATTTATTTTATACAACTCTTACCCTTTACAAAAATGGTTATAGTCATGCCCATAAAAGTGTAACCCATGGCATCTGAAAGCAAACACTCTTTGTAATTATTTAAAAGGGCCTTTTTAAAAATTATAATACAAAGGTCTGTGCTCTATAAGCAGTCCTCCACTGTGCATTATAACAATAAGGCTTACTTTTAATACAAAGACTAAGTGTTTGGAAGTTATGAACCACTGGATTTAACAAACATCATTTTATAATTGCTTTTTGCATCTTTTTTGTTTTTGGGATCCTCTACTTCATCAGCATGTTCAGTAGCTTGCAGTTCTTCAGCAGATTCTTCTTTCTCTGACTCTGAATCACTTTCAGAGTCATCTGGACTTTCAGGATCAGGTGAGTCATCATCATCATCATCATCTCCAGCCACATCACCTTCTCCATCATGATCTTCTACCTAAAAACATTAATCAACAGGCTCTTTCTTTTTATAAGTTTCCTAGTACAAAAATTGGAAAATACCCTCATTTTTGTCAGAGTTTTAAAAGCAGCCCACTTACTAGCCATTAAATCAATGGTTTTAAAACTGGATCTGATCAAAAGCTGCAGAGGGATGATGAGGACTGAGGAATCAAGGATCTCTATATTCATTCATCTGTTTTAAATACTGGGCCCTGAGTAGGCTTCTGTTTTAAGATGGTCTCTGAGGACCAGTCACTAGCTTCCATCCCCCTACTATGAAAACTCTGTATTAAAATTTCCTGAAAAAAACAATATTTTTTTTAATAAAGCAAATTAACCATTTATCTTCATGTGGAAAACAGTTACCAATGTTTTGCATATTTTATTACTTTGGAGTACTTAACCAGTAGTTTCACATTAATTCATAATACGAAAAGAGATCACTTAGGAAACAACTGAGAAAGAACTCTCTCCTATACCAATGTTTCATTTCCATCAAACATTTAATCTAACTTGTAGGCAGGCATGTTTATTAAGGGTGGGCCCTAATAAATATCTAAGCCAAATTTACCTTAAGCTGCTATCTGACAATATATGTATAAAAGCCTAACAACAACAACAAAAAACCCTCTTCAGATTATCTACAAAGAACTAGATGGCCATACAAAAAAATAAGTAATTGTATAAAGAAAGCATTCTACATAGGATTCTTGATTGCTAGGGTAATCTTACAGTCAAGTGGTAATAAAATGGTATCAAAATGAAAATTCTCTCCCAATTAAAGTAAGTTAATTACTACCTCACTGAAGCCAAGTCCACAATGTCGTCGGTATCTTCCTGATAATTTACTGTCCATACTTTGCTGATATTGAGACTCCAGTTCTTCATTAATTTTCTTGTCTTCTTCCCCTGCATTTCCAGTGTACTTTGGTTATGTTTCAGTCAAATTAATAAAAACATTTGATTACACAAAAAACCCATAATACATATGCTATTATATTTAGGGCTGATTTCTCTAGTTGTAACTAATTTCACAATGAATTTTGTGGATAAGTTTCTATATCCCAGGTGGTTACCTAATACAGAATAAAAATACCTGGAGGATGTATTTATGAACACGTCTCTGGTAACTAACACTCTGAACTACAAATGGGTTTCATTATATAAAAGATGAAGAACTTGTGGTTTATAACTTCCAAACACTTAGTCTTTGTATTAAAAGTAACCCTTATTGTTCCAGCACACAGTGGAGGACTGCTTATATACAGAGCACAGACCCTTATACAAGAGTCTCAGAAAAAGCTGCTTGAAGTTAAATATTAATTAAACAATTCCTAGTAGTTTGGGGTATTAAATATTTAACTTGTTATAGTGTAATAAATGACTGTTCTTTTAAAAGTGAAAGTTATCTCCTGGTTATTGGGGGAAAAAAAAAAAAAAAAACCTCCTATAAACAAAAGTTCTGTCTGAATAAAAGTAGTGAAGGCAGGCAATTCTGCTCAGAAAAGACCTGTATCAAATGACTTTCTAAAAGCACACTTTTATGCCTCTTTGCTTATCCGTTTATAAAAACAACATAACTTAATCTTAAAATATTATTTTACTATCCAATGTTTAAAATTTTACATATATTCTTATGAACAGAACACTAAACAAACACCTATAAACCTCTATCACTTAAGAACTAGAACATTACCAATCCCATTGAAGTTTCTGGTATATGACATTTTAATTTGGAAACATAAGAGGAATTTCACTTTTAATCACAAATGGTGGTGCTTTGCATTATTTTTCTTCAAAACCTTCCAATTTTAAAAGAATAAGTGTAGCAATTAAATATTTTTCTATTCAGCAAAGTCAGGGACACTTTTTGTCAATGGAAATCAATTTTAAATAATGGCTCTAACACCAGAAAAATAAAAGAACTATGAATTTTGAAAATGTGCTACATATTAAAGATCAGTATAAAGTCTATCTATCTATCTATTTATTATTGTTATTTGGTAAGAGTTTACAGAGTAGTCAATTTAAATATAAGTTTTGTTAAATATAATCCAGGTCATTTCACCACACCTTGTTATTAATAATGTCCACAATTACAATCAATTTTAAATAAGAGAAAATTTCACTTTTTAGTAGACCAAATTCAAATCTAAATTTATTTTCAGTATTTAAAAATTTTTCTCTTAAAAAAAAGAAACTTCAGGCTCTGCAATTAGCTCATACTGTTAAAAAATTTCAAAACAAAACTTATGAATAAACTAAAAAACTATTATATATGCCAACTATAGCAGTTTTAGCAACTATATTAAAATAATTTAAAAAATAAAAGGAAGAATATAAACCACCTATGCCACAGCTGGCAAGATGAAGCACAAAACATTACAATTAAAATATATGTCTGGGTCACTAAAAATTAAGGCAGAAGATGGTTAGTTTTTTAGTTAGAATATCATATTGATATATACTCTCCAATCTTTTAAATCAAAGTACATACTAATCTTTACATGACATATGTAACATGTTTACACATGACATATGTAAACACAAGGTAATGTTTATATGTGAACTTTTCAATTCTAATGTTTTAATCATTAACACAATTAATTACATAAGTGAGAGTATCTCAAAATAAGTACAAGTATTTCATATCAAATTTAGCACCTCCACGGCACATAACAACAACAACAACTATAATTATATTTTACTTTCTCACCTGTTCGGAAGTGAGATGTTGATTTGTGATCTCCTATAACAAGACGACCAGTATGTTCTTTCTATAATAAAGTAGAAAATGTATTAGAATTTGAGATCTTCAACATAATTAAGTGTCTATTATGTTCCTGACTGTATCAGGTGTTTGGATACAGTGAAGAAAAGGAGACTGAATTAAAAGACCAAATTTAAGAGCCTTCCTTTATGGAAGTGGCAGTGGGGAGGGAAGGCAGACTATTAATAAATATAATCAAGAAAGTATATTAATAGTATGTTACGAGGTAGTAAGTGCCATTTAAAAAAGAAACGAAGGAAAAAGAGCAGGGAAAGAGAGTTAGAAAATACAAAGTGCGGATAGGGATCACGATGGAATCTTAAATGAGTTAGATTGGATAGGACCCACTGGGAACATACACGTTATCATCTACTTTTCAAAAGTTCACTTTATACCACTTCACTTTTACACAAGACCCACATTAGTACCTGTTTTCCCTACCTGAAAGAAATCTGAAGAGGATTTTCGTGTTTACAAAAAAAGGCGAAAAAGCTAAACTAGGTCCAATGCTTGTTTGGCAGCAAGCTGTTACACAGGTAGTTCATGCCCTGAGCAGGAAGAGTGTTTGTAGCCCAGCTCCCTCACTGGGAACGACATTTAAGCATCTTGCACCAAGTTTTGAATTGTGTCTGTGGACACTCTATGTTAGTGCTATTTTAGGTTTTATGTCTTATCCTTCCTCAGAAGGAAAACTGGGCAATCTACTTCCATAGTGATACTGCTTCAGAAATCCAAGGAGGGGTTGCTATGAGTCAGATCCAACTCGATGGCAGGGAGTTTGGTTTTGGTATGATTTGGTAGGTTATTTTTTGGGTTTTGGAATGTTCAAAAAATTTTCCTGTATATTAATGGTATTTGTTTCTTCGCTTTATGCCATTTCAGCTTCCAAAAGTTCCACAGGAATGCTTTACTTTCAGATAGTAGGGAAATTTGTCTTTTTGTAAAGACACAGGGCTTAGTCATACAGATACTGACTAGGGAGAAGGGCATTTCAGATACAGGGAACAGCAATGCATTAAGGCAGTGGTTCTCAAAGTGTACTCTCTAAACTAGCAGGGCCATCAATCACTTGGGAACTTGTTAGTAATACAACTTCTTTGTCTCCAACACCTCCCAATCCCATTTACTGAATCAGAAACTTGGGAATGGTCCAAAAGATGTACTTAGGAATAAATCTAACCAAAGACACATACGACCTATATAAAGAAAACTATAAAACACTGCCACAAGAAATCAAAAGAGAACTGACATAAATGGAAGAATATGCCAAGTTCATGGATAGGAAGACAACACTGTAAAAATGATAACCCAAAAGGATCTACAGATATAACACAATCCTGACCAGACTGCATCATTGATCTTTAAAAAGAGAGAAAAACTAATGACCAACTTTCTATGGAAAGGAAAAAGACCCTTGAAAAGCAAAGCGCTACTAAAGAAGAAAAAAGCTCTCAGATTCTCTGATTTCAAAACCTACGATGTAGCCTGGTATTGGTACAATGACAGACCCACACACCAATGCAACAGAATTGAGAACCCAGAAGTAAATCCATTCACCTATGGATAGCTGATCTTTGACAAAAGGCCAAAACCCATTAAAGGGGAAAGAGAGAATCTCTTTAACAAATGATGCTGGCAAAACCGGGTATACATTTGCAGAAAAATGAAACAGGAACCATATCTCTTACAATATACAAAAACTAACTCAAGATGGATCAAAGATCTAACTGTAAAACCTAAAACCATAAAGATCGTCATAAAACAAAACAAAAAAACAAAGGTATACTTACAGCTCTGATACATGGCATAAATGCACTATCAAACATAATTAAAAGTACACAAGCAGCAGAAGACAAACTAGATGACTGGGACCTTCTAAAAATTAAACATCTATGTGCCTCAAAAAGACTTTGTCAAAAAAATAAATAAAAAGAGAAAAAATAAAAAGAGAACCTATAGACTGGGAAAGAAGTTTTAATCTCTGTAATTTATAGAAAACTTTAAAACAACAAAAAGACAAAGCAATCAAAAAATGGGCAAAGGACATGAAGAAACATGTCACCAAAGAAGATATTCAGGCAGCCAACAAATACAAAAAGAAATGCTTATGTTAATTATCCATTAGACAGATGCAAATCAAAACAACAAGGAGGTATCATCTCACCCTACATTAAAGGCATAGTTCAAAAAATCAGAAAACAACAAATGCTGGTGAGGGTGTGGAGAGAATGGAACCCTCATACACTGCTAGATGGAAAGGTAAAATGATGCAACCACTGTGGAAAATTGTATGGCAGTTCCTTAAAAAGTTGGAAATAAAAATACCGTATGATCTAGCAGTTCTACTACTAGGTATACAATCTACAGAAATAAGAGCTATGACACAAACAGATACATGCAGATGCACATTCATAGCAATATTATTCTCAATAGCAAAAAGATGGAAACAACCTAAGTGTCCATCAATGGATGAATGGATAAACAAACTGTACATACCCACAACTGAATACTACGCATGTTAAAGAATAATGATGAATCTGTGAAACACTTCGTAACATGGATAAATATGGAAAATATTATGTGAGTGAAATTAGTCACAAAGGGACAAAATATTATACAAAATCAAATCAAATATTATATGAGACCACTACTATAAAAAGTCAAGAAAAAGTTTACTCATAGAAAGAAGCATTCTTTGAAGGTTACTAGGTTGGAAGGGAATGTTGTTGTTGTTGTTATGTGCTGTCGAGTCAGACCCAACTCATAGCGACCCCTCCTTGGGTTTCCAAGATGGGAGGGAATAGGAGGGTAAATTAAATCACTACTTTAACTTGGGTGAAGGGAAAGGCAATACACAGTAAGGGGGAGGTTGGCACAAAATGATCAGGGCAAAGGAGGGGGCACAAGAGTTAAAGACAATGAAGCTAAATGCTGTTTCATACAAAATCTTGAAGTAATAAAAATCCGAGTGGATACATAGAAACACAAGCTGACCAGGTGTGGAAAAGCAAATGGGACTATACCCATGAAGATACTTATCTATGTATATATCTATATCTGTATATAAATATAAGGAGCTCTGGTAGCATAGTGACTAAGGCACTTGACTGCTAACCAGAAGGCTGGCGGTTCAAACCCACCAGCCACTCCTTGGAAGTAAGATGGGGCAATCCACTTCCATAGTGATACTGCCTTGGAAACCCAAGAAGGGGTCGCTATGAGTCAGGTCCAATTCAATGGCACGTAACAAGAACAACAACATATAAATATACATCTGTCTGACAGGAGCTATTTCTACACATGTATTTATACATGCTGCAAATATATCCATGATATAATGAAGCATATAGGGGATAAAGTTATGAAAACTTCTTGGTCATAACCAAACACCTAGAAGAAATGCGTCACCTGCTGGGCCTGGAGGCTCAGGACCAGTCTTGGGGGACATCAAAGTCAACTGGCATAACACAGTCCAAAAAGACTACATTCTACATCCTGTTTTGGTAAGTGGCAACAGGGGTCTTAAAACTTGTGAGTGGCATCTAAGGTGTAACTATTGGTGTCTCCCAAAGAAGAGTGAAGAAAACCAAAGATGCAAGGAAATAGTCCTAAGGACTATTGTAAACCCCAGCCTCCACAACCATGAGATCAGAAGAACTAGATGGTGCCCAGCTACCACTGCTGATCTTTCTGAAAGAGATTGCAAGAGGGGGTCCTGGATTGAGCAGGAAAAAGAATGTGGAACAAAACTCATAATCATGAAAAAGACCAGGCTTACTGGTCTGACAGAAACTGGTGGAACCTCTGAGATTATGGCCCTTAGATACCCTTCAGGCCTGGAACCAAACTCATCTCCATGGCTCAACTTTCAACAGTTGACAGGCCTGAAAGGTGAACAATGACACCAGGGAGGTACACACTTTTAGAATAACCGACCAAGGGCAGCATTGGCCCATGGATAAAGCTCAGAAGGCAGGAAGGGATAAGAAAGAAGGATGAATGCAAATGGTAAACACAGGGAGGAAGGGGGACAAATACTGTTACACTGGGCATTGCAATCAATGTTATGAATCAAAATGTACATGAATTATTGAATGGAAAACCAATTTGCTCTGTAAACTTTCACCAATATCACAATATACAGTTTAAAAAAAAAGAAAAGAAAAGAGAGAGAAACTTGTGGAAATTTCTGATGCACACTAAACTTTGAGAACCAATGCCTACACGAGTTTATTAGGGAGCGTTCAATAAGCAGCTAGGAAGCCAGTGTGCTATATGCAGAGAGTAGTAGTAGATGGGTATGTGTGTATGTATGCATGTACACACAGTGTCATCTAGTCAAACATATCATTCACATATAATTCATTCTATGTCAATAAAATCTTCTGTTCAGATATATATTTAAGGTCTCAAGTATTATAAAATCTTGGCTAACCACAATTCTGAAACATTAGACATAATCACAGAAGGTACAGAAAGTAGGGAAGAGTATAACTGTTCCCCCCAAAATCCAAAGATCTACCTATTCCTAAACACTATTACATCAAATATAAGTATAAACCTTTATCTGAAAAATGAATACACAGTATTTCTTTTATTGATGTGTTTGTGTATGTGTGTGTGTATAAAAGGAGCTCTGGTGGTGTACTAGATAAGGCATTTTTGGCTGCTAACTTGAAGGTCAGCAGTTCAAACCTACCAGCTGCTCCACAGAAGAAAGATGGAGCACTACTTCTGTAAAGATTTACAGCCTCAGAAAACACAATAATGACTGGAGTTACTGGTCAGATGGAGTCTGGTGGGACCCCTAAGATTACGGCCCCGGGATACCCTTTGGGCCTGGGATGGGACTCATTCCCAAGGGCTCTCAGCCCAACAGTAGAAAGACTTACATGCAGAATACCCAACCCACAGCAATGCACCCACCTACTCTATGGTGATACACCCCTTGGAGCAGTCAGCCATTGGGCACCAGAGGGGCAGCATTCACATGAAGGAAAGCTGGACAAACAGGAATGCACAGTTAAGAAAGGCACCAGGAGTGGGGGGTACTGGGCAGGGGAGTAGATTAGGGTTGGGGATGATAAATGAAATCAAATGAACATGAACCTTTGAATGTAAAACTAATTTTGCTCTGTAAGTTTGCACCCGAAGTGCGTACGTGCACAGAAGATTTATGGCCTCAGAAACCCAATGGGGGTCACTATGAATCGGAATCGACTTGATGCAGTGAGTTTGGTTTCCTGGTTTTTTTTGGGTGTATGTGTGTGTGTGTGTGTGTGTGTGTGTGTGTGTGTGTATATATTTTATATATATATTATATATGTATATATATATATATATATATATATATATATATATATATATATATATATATAAATATAATTTATATACACACATCAAATCATTTTAAAGTATCTATTTTGGTACTACAATGTTCAGTAACAACAACTAAGGACAATAAAACATAAGTAGGAAACCAACAATGAGCAGGCCAATCTGACCAACAAAAAATAAACGTTTGTCATTAATGCAATCTATATGTAAGACTAAAGGAAAAACTTATATTCTCCTGTTCACTTTTATTTGCTAATTAAAAAGATGCAGAAACACCTGACACTATGGCCACTCACAGCCCTTCAGATCTGGAATTGAACCCTGTGGCTTCCAGCCAAACAGAAAACAGGTATATGAGCCTTTATACTACATTACAATATTTACATTTATATTAGGTAGATACATGCCTTGGAGAGATCAATCATGGGAGAATAGAAGGGCTGCGTATACACAGGGAGACAGCTTGTGGGGCAGGAGTACGTGGGAGGGAAGGACACAGGGAAGAGGTACTATGGGGAGGAAGTGGGAGGACAGCTGTTGCACTGTGGGAAACTGCAGTCAATGTCATGAGACAAAATTTAAATGAACTGCTGTATGGAAGATGAATTTGCTCCAAACTTTCACCCAAATCACAATAAAAATTGAAAAAAAAAAAAAGGTGCAGAAACAAATCTAGATTTGCATTTGTTTTATCAAATCTACAAAGTCATTCTAAACAGTCATTTAAAATATTCTACACTCACTCCTCACTTACTGACATGGTTAGGCTGCAAAGACTAGGTTGTTATGCAAAAATGGAGGATGATAGTATCATTACACATTGCCAAATTTACATCATTACATAATTGTCAAATCAATGAGAATCTTAGCCCAGCCAAGCTGACACACAAGCTTATTCATAACAGCCAGCTTGAATCTTGCCTTACACGGCTGTGTTTGTTACTACTGCCAGGTGTACATCATTAATGTGCAAAATAGTAGGATGATGAGATAGTTGAAAATGATGAGTACGTATATTCTTTAAAAAAACTCCTATTAATCATAGAGCTCATTAAAAGCATTTTGGGTTATCTGAAGGAAAGTCATTATGCGTCTCCTCAAGTACTTAAATATCACAATTTTTCAGAGATAACTTTAATTTTCTGTATTTTTCCCGAAACTTCTTTCAAAGTGGATTTAGCACATATGGTGGACAGACTGAAGATTAATGTACGAAATATTCTAAAAATGTAGGTGTGAACCAATTAATTTAAAAGATATACATACAATTATGTCAAGTAATACTAATATAACTAATATACATTTGAAAGATAAGTACATATTATGCCCTAAGCGTTCTTATCATGAACAATTTTACTACACAAAAAAAGTTCTCAGGTAATTAGAAAATTCAGTCAATCTAAATATTTTCTTTCCAAAAGCCCAGTTAAATGAGTTGCTTTCATGTTTCCACTTTCCCTTTTTGATGCTTCAGGCAAATCTCATAGAAAAAAACGCAAATGAAATTATATAGCTAGATACAAATAAAAGAATACTTCTAATGAACAATGCAATGTTTCCTTAGCACTATGTGCATGGCTTTTAAAGCAATTATAATTCTGTATTGTTACTGTGTAATTTCCTCCATTACATGATGGCTCCATACATGTGCTACTGATCTATGTGACCACAGGAACTAATACAGTGGATGGCATGTAATAGTCAATATGGTTGGTAAAACTCATGAATACATTCCTATGTGTATAATAAAAATAAAGGGCAGAACTTCATTTTAAGGAGCTTGAAAGAGAAAAAAACCTTTCCTTGCTATCCAAATTTGGTTTGTAAAAAGACTATTGGAACAATGTTAGGAAATTGGTTTTACTTGCTTATAAAAAATGTTTAGAAACTATCATATTTGCATTTAAAAATGAATTCCTAGGAATAAGAATGTATTTTCCAATAGGCAGTGTTTTTCTGGCACTTATGATTTATACCTTCTACAGTACCAAAAGGAGCTCTGATGGCATAGTGGTTAAGGTATCTGGTTACTAACCAAAAGTTTGGCAATTCAAACCCATCAGCCACTTTGTGGAAGAATGAGGCAGTCTGCTTCCATAAAGATCTGTTTGTTGTTGTTGTTGTTATGTGCTGTCGAGTTGGACCCGACTCATAGCAACCCCTCCTTGGGTTACCGAGGCAGTATTAGAGCAAGTAGATTGCTCAACCTTCCTTCTGAGGAGTGGCTGGTGGGTTTGAACCACCAGCCTTCTGGTTAGCAGTCAAGTGCCTTAGGTACTATGCTACTAGAGTTCCCCCATAAAGATTTACAGCCTTGGAAATACTATGGGACAGTTCTATTCTGTCTTAAAGGGTCACTATGACCCAGACCTATTGCCATCTAGTAAATTCTGACTCACAATGACCCTTTATGATCAAATAGAGCTGCCTCATAGGGTTTCCAAGGCTGTAAATCTTTATGGAAGCAGACTGCCTCATCTTTCTCTCACAGAGTGGCCTGTGGATGTGATCCCTTGACTTCTGATTAGCAGCCAAGTGCCTTAAACATTATACCACCAGACGTCCTTCCTTCTATTATATAAACACATCAAACTGAGAGACATTTTAAAATATATTACAAATATTTTAATTATGTTTTTGACAAAGGACATTCCCTTGACCACAACTTCAAGGGCTACAGGGAGTTATAAACTATGACAGACCTAATTGGCTTTGGACAGAGATCTCTATTCCTACAGAATAACTTGTGTAGAAATAACTTCTACCACAAATAGTATAAATTTTAAGTACTAAGTTGCCCCACTGCCATCAAGTTGATTCTGACTCATAGTGACCCTCACTGGGTTCCAAGGCTGTAAATCTTTACAGAAAGTAGGTTGCCTCATCTTCCTCCCACAGAGCACCTGGCAGGTTTGAACTGCTGACCTTCTGGTTAGCTGTCAAAGGTCTTACCCACTACACCACCAGAGCTCCTTCAAGTACTAGGTTAGGTCTGTTAAATAAATGGGATCTAAGTGTATTCAGTTCTCACTTAACACACATAAAAATTGGCATATTTTCACAGAAAAGATAAAGACACTGATGCTTCTTACCTTTCCTGCTCCCATAAGTCTCAAGAACTTTTGTTTTCTCTCTTCATTACCTAAGTCTGCTGCCTCCCAATTGCTAGATCCAAGCTAGAAAACAAATGAGCCTGATTAAGTTTTGTACATAAAAGTTAAAAACAAACAAACAACTTAAAGTGTACCCAGTAACTCCCAAGTTTTTTTTTTCTCAGTTTTACCTAGGAATTGGATCACCATTCTTGCTTATGAAATTAAACATATGCATTATATTTGGATTAAAATATACTCCCTATTACCTCAAAGCAGAATCCTTTAGCTATTTGTAGTCAGAGCTGTGGTTCTCAAATATTTGCTTGCCTGAGAATCACCCAGAGGACCTGCATGTTAAAAAGACTGCTGGGCTCAACCCTCAGGGTTTCTGTTTCAAAGGGTCTGGATGTTTAATTTCCTATGTGATGCTTACTGCTGATGTGGGGACCACACTCTGAGAACCACTCTAGAGCCTTGCAGAAGCCTACAGCACCTAGTATCCTGAACCCTGAAGTCTATATTGTTGTTAGTTGAAGTTAATAATTCCGGCTTAAAAAAAAATTTTTTTTTTGGCTTTAGTGATATTCTGAACCAGTTGCTATTGTCGATTCTGAGTCAATGGCAACCCCACATGTGTCAAAGCAGAACTGTGCTCCCTAGGGTTTTTAATAGTTGATTTTTCAGAAGTAGACCAGGCCTTTCTTCTGAGGTGCCTTTAGGTGGACAAGAACTTCCAACCTCTGGTTAGCAGCTGAGCACATTAACTGTTTGCAACACCCAGGGACTCCAGTGATATTCTAAGGAACAGTATACCATCAGGGTCCAGTGGATCCACTTTTTATATTTCAGATTCTTTTTGAGCAGTTCTAATTATTTGTATCTGCTACAAATTTGTATCTGCTACCCACTTTAAAGTGTTAGAAAGCAAAGATGTCATTTTGAGGACTAAGGTGCACCTGACCCAAGCCATGGTATTTTCAGGCTCCTCATACACATGTGAAAGCTGGACAATGAATAAGAAAAACTGAAGAATTGATGTGTTTGAATTGTGGTGTCGATGAAGAATGTATAATGGACTGCCAGAAGAATGAATAAATCTGTGTTGGAAGTACAGCCACAATGCTCCTTAGACGCAAGGATGGTTAAGATTTCATCTGACATACTTTGTACATGCTATCAGGAGGGATCAATCCCTGAAGAAGGACACCATGCTTTGTAAAGTAGAAGGTCTGTGAAAAAGAGGAAGATCCTCAACAAGATGGACTGACACAGTGGCTGGATCGATGGGCTCAAACATAACAATAATCATGAGGATGATGCAGGACTGGGTAGTGTTTCAGTCTGTTGTACAAAGTGTCACTATCAGTTGGAAATGACTTGGTGGGACCTAACAACAATTATTATTTGTAAGGATTGGTATGTCATGAATTTTATTCCTTCTTAGAGGTCTTCAAAAGAACAGAGTGAATTTACTTTTTTTTTTTTAAAAGGACAGAATGAAATTCATCCTATCTTGCAATTGTCAAATGGGTCCACTGGACCATTTTATAAATCTAAGAAATATTATAGAATCTTACTGATATTTATCCCTACGTGTTGAAACAAATATAAGATTTCATTATAATACATAAATTATTCCCAACTATGCTAAAAATGGCTAAAATTACAAAAAAAAAAAAAAAGGTAGAAGAATGTTATTATGTTGCCCAAAGTATCACATCACCAACTTTCAAAAAGACACCACACCTCTATTGCCTGCTTTTAGTGTTCCAGTTGGGAATTCAAAATTTTTCATTTTCTATCCATAATAGGAAAGACAAGAAAACTAACAAAGGAAGGCATTTCACAATCATCTGATGAATCAGAAGAAAAGTGTAAAATGACAGGTTACTTGAAGTAGCACTCTATGTTAATGATGGTGAAATTAATTATATATGCAAAAATCTCAGACTATGAGTCCTTGAATGATGATGTACTAGTTGACTTTTCTCCAACTCAAAGATCCATGAGAGACAAAAAAATAAATATACTTTCACCCAGAAAGTCATTCAACAAGAAGGGCTTCATCTTGCAGTATAAAGATTACAGCCTGGGAAACCTCATGGGGCAGTTTGATTATCCTACAGGGTCACTATGAATCAGAATTGACTCTATAGCACACACCATCAGCTGTACAGTATTTTACAACTTAAAATCACTTTTCACTTATTATTTCAAGAACCCCTTCCAACAGTCTATTTAACAAATAAGTACATTGAGGTACAGAGAGGCTAGACTTGCCTAGATCCTCTGGTCTTAAGCCATCTGGTTTCTTCCCATCATACTGTACACGATCAAATATGACAGAGCATATGAAAGTATCTATGAACTAGTTTAAAAAAATGTATACAATGAAAAATAGTCTAAAATCCAAAACTTTCCCCAAATTCTCTATTTCTATTAAAAGAAACATCCTCAATGTGTTTACATGAACAACTCTGTCATCTACAACTTCTTAACATTTTCTTCAATTATTAAGTCCTTCTGGGTCTTCCTTTCAAAGACCGTAGAGTATCACAGGAAGTACCTTGCCCAAGTGCTGCATTCTACATATGGGTACCTGGTAAATTCTTAGAGGGCTCTCCACCAGTTGCTAAAATTAATCTCCCTACTCCTTAAAAAAAAAAAAAAAAAAAGAAAGAAAAATAGCTTTCATTTCTCCACTCTAAAAATGAAACAATTTTTAAGGGTGGTGGAAATTTAGTAGTAAATTCTTACTTTCCATGCAGGATACCCAAGTTAATTCCTGGCCAATGTACCTCATATACAGCTACCACCATCTGTTAGTGGAGGCCTGGGTGTTGCTAAGATGCGAAACAGGTTTCAGTGGAGCTTCCAGACTAAGACAGACTAGGAAGAGGGGTCTGGTGTTCTACTTTCAAAAATCAGCCAATGAAAACGTTAGGGATCACAACAGTGAGACTGGCAACAGATCCCAGGGATGACACAGAACCAGGCAGCATTTTCTTCTGTTGGGCACAGAGTTGTCATGAGTTGGGGGCTGAGTGGAAGGCAGCTAAGAGCAACACCCCTAACACCCTTTTTGAAACATACTTCTTACTTAGAATTTGCTTATACATTGTTAGCATTTTCCCAGAGTTCTATTTTGTGATTCAGTGTCACTTTTCAATAGCTTTTAAAATATTTTGTTACCCCTAATTAGTATACAACGTAGACAAAAAAAATTTCTATGCAGATGATACTTGCTAGAAAACTGCTGACCAACTACTTATTATGATTAGTTGATTTTCTACAATTTATATTTAAAAAA